TCTTTCCTATAACAAAAGTAGGAGTTCAGCCCCTATATTTTTTGAATTTTCTTTCCTTTGCTCTTTTTTTTTCTCATAAAATGTTGATTTTATAGACTTAAACATGAAATTTATACTTATCTAATGAAAATTATGAATAATTATTAAGGAAAGATGGTTATGGAACCTAGGGAACTACCCTAGGATATATGGTTTTACTTAAAAAAATCCATCGCCTAGTCACTATCACCTAGCCTCGCCTTGGCGCCTTGAAAACTATGAAGGGAACATAAGTACTTGGCTGGATTGAATGCAAGTTCGATGGTAGCAGTTTGGTAACATCTATGGAAGACAAGATAGGGACAAAACCCCCATCTAATTAACAGTTTCCATCTGAGAGAGACTTCTTCAGCACTTCTTCACCATGAAAAGAATCCTCCACAGCATCCGATACTAATTCATCTCTGACCCCCAAGAGGTTTCCTACGTCATTAGACAAGGGTTAGGCACCAGATCACATTTTGGGGACAAACCGCCACTTCTCTCAAGTCTTCTTCACCTAGAGCTTCCAGAGCAACAAATTAAACATAAACCTTCCTTTCACAGAGGTCAGCACCAAACAACCTCATTAAATCTCCTTAAAAATCAATTACCAAATCCCCAATCACATCCATCGCCACTGAGCCTTCCCTCTTTCCTCCAACACTACCAATCCCCTGAACTGGCTTTAGTTGAGTATTCATCCTCATCTTCAAAATTATCTTCCACCTCTTCTTCTCTAATATTTCTGGAGCTCCTTTTCTCCAAATCCAATTGAAGTCTAGTCTTTGTTGTCAATGGTGCTTTAGGTTCCACCATTCCTTTTGGATCCTCCTTGCTTGTGTCTCTCTCCTCTTCATCACATTTCTCAAAGGGCATCATCCCCTGCAACCCTTTTTCTCATTCACCAGAACTAACCATCCTCCTTTCCCCCTTTTCTACAGATCTTGACACCACAGTTTCAGCCCCAAATGTTTTAGCCAATTCAGACAACCCTCAGGTCAACCAGTTGGCTGACCCGTCTGCTCCTTACCCAAACAACTAGTGCTCGAGTCACCTAGGACATCTCCCTTGCTCTTATTCTGCCTCGTGGGCTCCACCTTCCTATATTCACCTTCCTAATATCTTTATGTCTGTAAAGAGACTGGGCCGAATGGGTCCTAGTATATTCTCTTGTAATATCTTTTCTTTTCTTGTTGGCTAATGGGCCTCTCTTAATGGGCCTATTATTTCTTTTTTGCTTAATCTCTTTATGTTACTGCCTAGCTGGCTGCCCACTTAAGGGCATACTTGTCATTACTTTAACATTAATTCTTAATAAAAAAGGATTAGAGGAGAAAGGGAAGATAATTCGATTCTTCTTCTTCTTCCTTCTCTTTTCGCCATCTTCTTCTCTTGTGCTGCTGCTCTTACTTCTCTTCTTCCTTTTCTTCTTCTAATCTTCAAATTTACACCTAATATTTGAGGACTGATTTACATCTTAAAGGGTATGTTGGCGATTTGGTTTATCAAGTAATTCTTTTGACGTAATCTATGAAAAGATAAGCAACTTTTGATATATCCATTCTCAAAATGTAAAATACATATTGTGTAATATACAATATATATATATATATATATAGAGAGAGAGAGAGAGATGATAGATAGATACCACCCCCGTCCCATCTCTAGTCACCAGAGATCCAGATCTTTGGGTTTCCCCGAAAACCCACCTCCGAACTGGTCAAAGGTCAAAAAACCACCCTGACTGGGGCCGGGTGGAGTAGAGGCCTAATGGGAGAGGGTCAAATTGCAATCTTGACCTGTTGACACCAACCCTCATAGAGGCTTATCAAACCTTCAACAGAAAATGCATTCCCTGCTCTAATACTAGGTTTGCTTTCTTGTTGTGCTTGAGTTAGGAAGTTAGTGTTTTGAGAGAAATGGCGAAGAAGAAAAGGAGCAAAAGAAGAGAATAGATAAATGGAGAAGAGGAGGTTCAGGTATGAGATACCCCACCTCCTTAAACACTTTTTTACTTAATGAAACATGAGTAAAAGTTACAATATAGACCTTACTACTTTGAATATTTTACAACATGACCATATTATATTTAAAATACCAAGAATACCCATAGACTAATAAACACACATCTTCTAATATTACTCTAATGAAATTCTGACATGTATCAAAAAGAAATATATGATTAAGGTAACCAATTACCAATTTTAACTTTATATTAACTTGAACTCTGTAATTTTACCGCAAAATATGGAAAGAAATTTGGGTTGTTAATTATTTCCAAAGTTGTATACCATCTAACTGAAAAGATATCTATCTTTTAGAGCTATAATTTCCATCCACATCTTGTTAACATAATAATCAATAGTCTCATTAGATCTCAAAAAAATAAATGAGAGTGTCCCATTCTTCAAATAATGTGAAAGAGAGGCTTAGTTCAGTTAAGTTATTCTGCAGCATGTCAATAAGCCACACCATTTCCTGAAAGACTGGAAACAACCTATAAAAGGATTTCTTTCCAAAACTATCCTTCTTTTTTATTAGCTGGAGGCTATACCTCATTGTTTCCTAATTTCGATTTATTGGAATTTCCTTTTTGATATAATTAACATAGTGTTACAATAATATCATGCCTGCCACAGCTGCAACACATGGAGCACCAATAGTAGCTAGTATCTTTTTCTTATCAATGTTGCCATCAAGGTTTAAAATGTCGATGTCAGTGGAAATGTCAGTCATCTAAATATAAGAAACATGTCGGAAATGACAGAAATATCGTATGGAAATATTGTAAAAATTATAGACATGGTGGAAACATTGTAAAATATGCAAAATATAGAATGGTATTTTATGAAATGATAGAAGAAGCATAGACACACCTTTTTAAATTATTATCTTGTTCCAAATCATTAAACAAAGCTAAGAAACTAAGGATATAGACAAAAGAATAAGTTATGAAGTTGCCCTGTAAACCTTAAGATTTAGACTTCATGATAGAATGAGTTAAAGCAAAATTTAAACTCATAAGAAATGTAAATGGTTGTAATAGATCAATCAAATAATCTCTTACACAAACAAAAACTAATATTTGACTTCATGTTTGAAATGAATATTGAGCTAGTTCAAACTTCAAAGTGGTAATCATTTAAATTTGGTGGACAATAACTTCTTACTTCACATACCTACAATATTTGTTACAAACTTATGTTATAATACTATCTCTTGTACTCCACATTGTACCGGTAGTGTTCACTGGGGAATATGTCAATTCTAGTAGAATTTCATGTTCTTACCCATGGAAGTGGAAATGGAAATATGTCATGGAAACTATCTCTTGTACTCCACATAGTGCTGGTAGTCTTCATTAGGGAAATGTCGATTAGTAAAATTGTGTTGCTACCCATGGAAATGGAAATATTAGGGAAATTAGGGACATTTTAAACCATGGTTGTCATCTATTGTTCATGAGACTAGAGATATTAAGTCTCCTTTTTTCAGATGGCCGAAGAAGAGAGTGAAGACTATGTGAAAAAGCATTAGGGCTGCAGTGTGTTGCTCTCTAAGGGAAGAAAGAAATGCACGAATATTTTCAGATAAGGAAAGAACCATTGGAAACTTATTAGATCTAATTCTGTTAAGGGTGGCACATTGGTTGAAAACTATGAAACTATTCTCAGATTATTCTGTGGCTGATTTGGTGAGAAATTGGAAGGAGATAGCTTCCTCTGCCCTCTGTAAGAGGACCTGTAGTCCGTCATGGTTCCCTCCTCCCTCTGGGTTCATAAAACTGAATTTTGATGGTAGCTGTTTAAGGAACCTAGGGCCTTCTGGGATTGGGGGAGTGTTCAGGAATGAGGAGAGGGTTATTTTTGCTATTTTCTCAGGCCCAATTAGGGAAGGAGACTCTCTTAGGGAACCCAGGGCCTTCTGGGATTGGGGGAGTGTTCAGGAATGAGGAGGGGGCTATTATTGCTATGTTCTCAGGCCCAATTGGGGAAGGAGACTCTCTTAGGGCTGAGATTCTTGCAGTCCTGGAAGGTATCCAAAGAGCAAGGGAGTAGAACATCAAATGTTTAGTCCTTGAAGGTGACTCGAAGGTGGTGATTAGGTGGCTAAAGGAGGGAGACAGCGGTTTATGGAGTCATAACAATGAGAAGAATAAATTCAAATGGCTGAGTAGGGATATTGTGGTTCATTACAACTGGGTGAAGAGGACTACTAATTCTTTTGCTGATGGGTTAGCAAAGCAAGGGGTGAATAGAGATTCGATTTTTTGGGCTACTTTTTGACTTTTTTCCTTTGTATTCTTTTGGTGGGGAGTTAAGTCTTTTTACCTCCCCTTTGTACCTAAGCTTCACATAGTTTCATATCATTAATAAAGTTTCTTGTTATTGATCAAAAAAAAGAAAAACTATTATTTTAACTTAGGCAATTTTTTAAAGTTCAATCAGTTCATGGTTCTAGCCTACTAGATATATTGGAATGAGGAAAACGCTAACATAGACAGAGTCAATTATGAAGACAAGCACATCAGACAAGGATAAAATGTCGTAAAACAACCTAATGACAGTAGAGTAGTTCAATAGATATTTCAGTATGATAACTAAGTGCCAACAGTGTGAAAGCATACCAGGCTGATGAGTCTAAGATAATAAGAGCAAACTGAACATGAAATATGGTAAGAGAAGCCTAAGCACAAGAGGTGGCATGAACCAGACAAACTACAGATCTGAAAATAAACACAAGGTATCATATCTGAACTTAAAAAGAGAAAGAAACTTGTTAACATAATAATAATGTAGAGGATTGGTCATGTTAAAACAAATCAATAAGTTCACTACCAAGTAGTCACAAACCAGAAAGACTATATATGTCAACAATAAGGTAAAAAGCATTCGTACAGAAGATGACAAATGTTCTAAATCACAACCATATTCCATATAAAGAAGTGAGTGGTCTTTCCAAATGGTACCATAAAACCAGTATCTCTACATTCTACTGATGGAGAATTAAAACATTTGTGTCAAACGGACTGCAGAAAACATCCATCAATTTTCATTAATTTCAAGCTCATTCATCTTTCTCTATGATAGTCCTATAATTCTTATAGTTGTTGACTAAGTTGAAAAATCAACTTACAGCATGTTACATCTGAAGCCCAGTCATGAAATCTATACCTTAAGCCATACATTCTAATCCCTTTTACTTCATTCCACATCCAAACCTTCTTTAACACTGAACTAGTCCAACAATTCCTCTTTCTAGAATTTTAATTTTTGATTTCCACAGGCCCTATACCAGTGTGATACACCCATTGATTCTTGTAGGTCATGTACTATGTTGTGGACTATGGGATCTGTCATTGATACCTGATGTTCAATATTAAAATCAATTTCTTAAAGTGGGTTTTAATTGATTCCACAGAACTGGCCAGGTGCTAGTTCTTGTACATAGGTAATGGCTACCCTTAAACCAGTGTTGCATGGACTCTACTAAATGAATGAAGTATCCATGTCAAACATGCATCAGACTTGATACTCGATGGCTTCTTCAAGGACACTTTTACATAGCATTTTTCTTTTTCCTTCATGCTTATTCAACAAAAAAGAACAGCTAACATAATAAATATCATTTTTCCAATAAAATGTTATCAAGTAGCAAAGATAAACTATTAGTCTCTCTTTAATAGGTTTACAATGTTAAAATTCAACAAAATATGAACTATTTTAATAGTTTATACTTTTGTATATCCACGAAGCCCTGTTTCTTCATCTTGCAAGGTCATACTCCTCGACATAATTTGGTTCTGATTCCCTTGCCCATGTCCATGTGACACTGCCAATATCAAATTATCAGGGAAAAAAAAGGGCTACTCCCCTGGAACAATGAGATGATTTTGGATTTGGAATTAGTTTTCGACTGTGGAACCCAGACTCAAATTTGGCCTTTGAGCAGCATGTACATCACTATCCAGATATTCCTAGTATTACAAGATCTGTAGCTACTAGAACAGGATGAGGCTTATCAACTGAATCAATAAGCAATATTCAAAATGAATTGACTGAAAGAGAGGAGGTTAAAAAGAACTACATGGTATATACCCCAAAGCATCTATATACTGCTACCCATGAGTAAATCCTGCTCCATAGGACCTTTACATTATTGTCCTCCAAACTAAATTTATATTCAACAACCTACCATTTCTTTCTGTCCACACCAATGCCAAAGGTACAACCCCCCAAACCATTTTCCCTCTTCTGTTTATGTAGATAATCTGGGGGGTAATTTTCTTTTTATAATAGTCAGGAGGTAATATCGTAAATATTGTGATATTTTAACCTTTTTCTCTTATTTCTTGTGTATAAGCATTAGTACCACCACAGGGACAGAGAGTTTAAGCCTTTCAGATGTTAGATCCACAAGAAATTCCATAGATGCCATAGATGTAGGGAAACAGGTCTGTCCTGATGCCCAGCAGTCTGCCCCACACCTTCCAAGTAAAATAACAATGCAGGAACAAGTGACCCACCGATTCCAAGAAGTTATTGCACATGATACAATTAGTGTTTTCTATCAGTATACCCCTTTTAGTTAAGTTTTCTGAAGTTAAATACTTGTTCAAAACACCAGTCCACATTAGGAATGCCACATTGACAGGAGAGTTGTATCAAGTGGGCTGTATGTTTGTGGGCTTATCAGTCTTATTTATGTTTCAGCCCTCTTCATTGTTATGGGCCTTTAGTTAGTGGGCCTAAACTGTTTTATTACTTAAGTGTTTAGGTGCCCCATCACTAATCAGGGGCATTCTAGTCTATTTTCTGTATTATTCTAATGTTAATATAAGATAGCTTCTAGGGCCAGCTGAGAACACTACTGCCCAACCATACATTCTTCTCTTCTCCTCTCTTCTCATCTCTTCTGGTTCTTCTTCTCTAACAGACCAGCAAACAAGGAGCAACAGAATACCAAATTCTAACTGAAGGAAAGTGGGCCTCTCCATAATAAATAAGCCTGTTCTAAAAGGATTTCACTGTGAAATTGCCATTGCACCATACCCAAACCCACCTGTCTGTACCTGTCCTGTTAGGTGTAACCGAGCAAATTTTCTGCCTAAGATCCATTTAGGTCTCTCCCTTCCGATCATTTATGTTTCTCCTAGAGATGGAATTTCACACCCACATATCCCTTTGGAATACATATTTATTAGCAAACAAAGCCTCTTTGTCTTCAGCCACCTCAAATAAGTAATGGTAGAGCTCTTTCAATGTAAGCTCCTCACACCAAGGATCAAAACAGAACCTAATACTAGTTCCATCACCTATATTGAGAATCCTTCAAGTTACAAATTAGAAAGATCTAGAGGAAAACTGAACTGCAGACCTTGAAGAAGCAATAGAAAACCTAGCTCAAATGGAATCCTCATATCCTATAGTGTTTCGTTCCCATATACTTTTGGTATATATCTTTTTCTCCTTCAAACAGAGGATGCTTCGATATCAGAAAAAATTAAGGCTGTTTTATAAGTATGGATTATGGACCCCAAATCCTAATTCCAACTTGGTAGAGTGCAGAATAAAATTATTCAGATGGATTACACTTAATACAAACACCGATTCCTAACAGTTAAAAGTAGCTAATCTCAAAGGTATGCATTCTTAGTGGTGGAAAGGCTGGATAACATTTAGATAAGGGGACTCAGTGCCACTGGTCGGAAGCTGAGAAAGTAGCTGCACGTTTTTTTTTCTATTTTTTCTTCGGGGAGGGGGTGTCTGCCTACATAAACAGGAATTCCATCTCTACAACTTCTGAAATAACAATCTGCAATTCCATCTTTTTTAACATTATTATTTATACTAAACAAACTAAAAGAGAAAAGACCTAATCTGTTAAGAAAATATTCATCATCATCATTACCAAAGTCTTGGCAGAGGAGGTTTAAAACTGTTCTACCTCTAGTAATTTCCCAAAACCAATGAGCTTTTGTGGAAGGGAGACAAATAATTGACCAAATCCTAGTGGCTAATGAGTGTGTAGTAGAAAAGAAAAGGCAAGGACGTAGGACTAATTTGCAAACTAGATTTGGAAAAAGCCTATGATTAGGTGGATTGGTCCCTCCTCTTAGATTTGTTAGAAAAAATTGGTATAGGAGAGAAATGAAGTGGATAAAGGTTGTATTTCGGCTCATTTCTCGATTCTAATCAATGGAGTGGCTAGGATTGGTCTTTCCTCTTGGATTTGTTCACTATTGTTGCTGAGGTCCTAAGTAGATTTATCATTAGAGCTGATGTAGAAAACCAGTTCAAAGGGCGGAGATTGGTAGAAAACCAGATTGATCAAAGGTTGGATTTGGAAAAAGCCTATGATGATGGATTGGTCCTTCCTCTTAGATTTGTTAGAAAAAAATGGTATAGGAGAGAAATGGAGGAAGTGTATCAAAGGACGTATTAGTTCGGCTCATTTCTCAGTTCTAATCAATGGAGTGGCTAGGGATTTTTTTCCCAACTCAAAGAGGTCTAAGGTAAGGAGACCCCATTTCCCCCTTTTTGTTAAGTGTTGTTGCTGAGGTCCTAAGTAGATTGATCATTAAGGCTGACCTAGAAAACCAGTTCAAAGGGTGGACAATTGGTAGAAATGGGATGGTGGTGACTCACTTGCAATTTGCATATGACATAATCATCTTTTGTGAAGACTGTACTAAGGCCAATATGAGGAATTTAAAAGCCTTACTTGATAGTTTCCAAAAGATTTTAAAGTTAAAAGTAAATTGGTAAAAGAGTTGTGTGGGTGGTGTTAATATGAGAGAGGAGGATGTCCTCTTGTGGGCAGGATTACTGGGTTGTGAGGTGAAAAATTGGCCCCTAGAGTATCTGGGTATGCCTTTAGCGGGTAACGCAAGAGTAGGTAGCTTCTAGAAAACAATGGTGGAAAGATTCACTAGGAAGTTAGCAATGTGGAAAAGGAGCTATATCTCTATGAGAGGGAGAATTACTTCGATCAAGTCTACCCTAGCCAACTTCCCCACCTACTTTTTGTCCACCTTTAGGATCCCAGTGAAAATAGCAAGTCAGTTGATGAGGGGTTTCTCGTGAGAACCGGGAGATGAAAAGAAAGATCATTTGGTCAAATGGGACCTGGTATATAAAACAAAGGAACAAGGAGGATTAAGTATTGGGAGCTTGGTTAAGCGGAACATAACTCTCCTAGGAAAATGGATTTGGAGATTCCCCTTAGAAAGAGATAGGTTTTGGCACAAGGTCATTGAAAGCATTCACAGTGTGGCAAATAATGGTTGGGATGTAAAGCTAGCGCCTCATGCAACCTCAAACTCCTCGTGAAAGGAAATCTCAGAGGTATTACCAATCTTCCTCATATTTATCCAATTTGATGTGGAGTGTGGGGATCAAGTCTTATTCTAGGACCTCTGGATTAAGGATACCCCCTTAACCTAGAATTCACTTGATTCTTTTCTTTATCAAACCTCAAGGCAAAACCCGTTTCTAGATTTGGGGCACCTTCAAACTCTAGTTTAAACTGAGATTTTGGCTTTAGAAGGGGTTTGATGGATATTGAGTGTGATTCACTTATCTTGCTACTTTCTTTGTTGGATATGAGAGATCCATCATATGGATGGCCGAACCTTGTAGGTAGGTAAGGCGAAATTTCAAAAATTTTTCTCTCTCTCATCTAGGAATCACATTCCCTATTTTAGAAAACTATTTTTTCAATGATCAATCTTGAACCAAGAACCAAATCAGATCTGAACTAAATCAGTAGGAGAGGGATGTACCTGATACAAAGAAATAGTATCTCCCAACGAAGGTGTTCACGCCCAAAGAAAGACTCCAAAGACTGCTCCCACTGAAGATGACACAGTGTAAGGTGGAGCAGAATCAGCAGTGTTCGTCCAACAAACCAAATTCCTCAGTAAGAATTCGATGGAGGCAGTGAGCACAACTTCAGATCAGCCTTTCTCCAAAGACTGATATCAAGAACAATTCTTGATCTTCTCCTACAATGGAGATCGAACTAGTAGTATGGCGGCAACTGGAGGAGAACACAAGAGCAGAAGATGGCGTAGCTGTCTTCTCTCTTGGTGATCTGAGATCTGATCTCTGGATGCTTGGGATAGGTAAAATAGTTCGCCCTTCTCCTCCTTTTATAGCCTTAAAGAGAGCTCCTAATCTCATTAGGAGTTTCCTAATCCAAATCTGTATTTGGATAAGGAGTTTTCTTTAAGAGATAAGGAAAAGTCCTTATCTTATCTGCATATTAGATTAGCTCTCTCCTAATCTCATTAGGAGGTTTCCAGATTCAAATCTTTATTTGGATCTGGACTCTTTGAGTGGATAAGGATAAGACCCTATCCTATCTGCTAATCTAATCTCAGATCCTCCCCCTTTTTTAACTGATCAAATCAGCCTAGTTCGAAATGGGCTTTAGGCCCAATAAGTCTTAAGTGCTCAGTGTGCTTCCAAACTGCTGCCCAGTTGGGCTTCTTTGTATGACGTGGGACCCAAACATTGATCTACACATCAGCCACATGGGTTCGGCCTAGCCTCTGTTATAAGGCCTGACCGAATTCACTGAAAAGACAGTGAACCCCCTGAAGCCCATCACATGGGCTCCTAATAGGCCCAACACTTACACTAAGTGGTCCCTAAGCCAAGCCACCTTATAAAAACCCAGGAACTGTGGGCAGATGCAAGATTAGCCCATCAGGTATAACCCTCAATGGYCTTACACTTAACCTCTCAGCCCATAATGATCAAACACTGCCCAACAAGAAAGGACCTCTCCCTCGGCTGCAAGGAATAGTGTTGCACTCTCTACTTACATGGATCCCGGGAATTAAAACATTTTGCAAACGTTCAGAAACCGTAATATATATATTTATATGTTTATATAAATATATTTTGCAAAACAAAATTCCAACGATTGAAATCAACTGCCGGCAGTTTTGGTTTCCATCAAAGAGAGTGCATCCCCGATCATTACCTTTGTCCAACAAAGGGGCTGATCCTGTCACTATGATCACTCACTCAGATGAATTCATAGACTGCCCCAACATACCCAGGTTTTGAGCCCCGCTAAGGATCTCACTGATTGGCATGTCAAAGACAGCCCAATCCGACACCTAGTGTAGTATCATAATCGAGTCTAGGGGTCAGGTGTAACATTCCAGTTTTTCCCACTTATCACCAAGGTCCAGGGCAATACTGAAATTCTGGTCCGGTTCAAGGTTTCAAACTAAACCCACACTGCATGTACCTCGGGTCTCACCCTGGCGGCTAAGACAGGCCACCCCAACCAACTTGGTAGCACATCAGTGTCAGCCTTATCAGGATAGGTCTCCCCAGACCGACCCACTGGCTGTGAACATTCTAAACTAACACAAGTCTCATTATGTGTCCAGTTTAAGGGTATTACACAGAAACACACTACATAACATGAATCAAATATGTACTTTATTCATTTACAATAAATGCATAAGTACATCAAACTGATTGGAGCTAAGGGCATACACTGTCTAACATTGGCTTCCTTCCCCAAATGGCCTTTTTTCATGTGCAAATGACATTATGGAATTCGACTGAAGTGGTACAAACAAACATACATAAAGTAGTAGTGAGAATGATTTCGAAACCACCAAAGGTAAATAAGCTGAAGTTAAATTTTATTGGTAGCCTCTTTGGCAATCCAGGAAGGGCAGGCACAGGGGGAGTTACCAAATATTGAAATCAAGGAGTTGTAAAGGCTTCTTCTCAAGACCAATAGGCTTTGGAGACTCAGTTCTGGCTGAAATCATGGCCCTGCTGCAAGGTTTAAAAATAGCTTCACAACTAGAAGTTAGAGATTTGGAACTGGAAGGAGATGTTCTTTTGGTGATTTCTTGGGCAAGGAATATACAGTCAGCACCCTGGAAATGCAGATTTGCATTCAGGGAGATTGATCATCTTGCAAGAAAGGTAAGTGCAAAGTTCGGATGGGTAAGAAGAACAGCAAACGGAATGGCAGATGCTTTATCAAAACAGTGAGTGGATAGACCAATCTTATTTTGGACAAAGTTGTAATTGCTGCAGTGAAAAAGAAACTGGATGGCCTATGTACTTGAAAGCTTCTATTCCTTGTAAATTGGGCAACTCTTCAATAAAAACAATTGTAAACTTACTTCAAATTAATAAATAAAGTTTATTTGCTGATCAAAAAAAAAAAATATTCGTCATCATCATCCATGCCTTAATTCTATTGGTGGCATCCTCCTTAATCTCTCCCTTCTTACAAAAAAGGTAACCCGTTCACCAAACATTACTATCGGTGACAACCACCTTAAGCTAAAAACAAATGCCAATTTCATTTTTCTAAATGTAAAAACCACACAAATCTATGGGAGGGAGAAAACGAAAGAACTCCACACCCTAAACCAATGAACACAATATTAAGATATTGGCCATAAAATCTCTATCTTTTAAAAGAGTTAGAAGTTCATTCTGGTCCGACCAATTGCATTATACCTATTCATTTAATTATTCTATGCTTTCCATTATTCCTTAAGGTTTTAAAACTAACCATTTTTTGAGTTGTTTGCACTTGCCAGATTCTCTAATATATTTCTGTTAGACACAGTAAAGCAGAAATATATGATTAGTGCTTAATTAATGTGAAAGCAACAAAAAAAAGGTTGAAAAGCCTTTTATCAAAGCAAATCTTTCCAAAGCTTGTCGGAAAAGAAAAAGGGGGAATTATGCAGAAAATTAAAATCAAAATAACCTCGTTGAAGAACACTGAACTAAAGTTTCGAGCCCACGATTCCTTCCTTCCGAGTCCCACATTGCCTTGCTGAATCAAACAGAGGGTGAGGAAGCAAAAGGATTTAGGATAAAGAGGTAGCGGGATCGAAAGAAACGGATTCTTAGAATCCAATTGAGAGAGAAAGAGGGAGACAGAGAGAGAAGAAAATGAAAGCTCCAGCAAAATTCACTTTCTTAAGCCAAAACTCAGAAGTCACTCACTAGTCAGCACTCAGCCACCATACTCCGTAGAGTCCGCGTTCTGTGCACCCGTGGGTGCACTGGACGCGTGAACCCGCGAATAGGAGAAGGACACGTCGCTCATGGAAACGTTAACGCCCGTTTGAGCGTTAACGTGGTCTGATCGGTTCAATCGGACACAAACCGGTCGCGACACCGAAGCTCCTTCCACCGAACCCTTCCTCCATCGGCGGCGATAAGGAGACCTCCGGTAGTTCATCGACGGCAACAAGGAGACGGCGAAAGGTATGACCGTTGCTTTCTCTCCTCTTCTCTTCTTCTCCTCTTCTCTGCTTCTTCTCTTCTCCTCTTCTCCGACGGCGACAAGGACTCATTCCTGATTGCTCTGACGCCAGAGGTCAATGGGCTAAGTTGAATTATTTATCTCTAGGCTTGACACTCGAAGACGAAGACGAGGACGATGATGGAGACGAGAGAGTCTGCTCTCCACTGTAATTCCGCGAGGAAACACATGGAGACCTGGACTCTAGTATTATGTGTAAGCTCTTTGTAAAAAGCTCAGTAATTATCTGCTCAATTTTTGCTGATTCGGAGTGAATATTGCTCTGAGAAGAAGCCATAACTCTCACTCTCTCTCCCCCTCTAAACAAACAATTTCATCGATGTTAACTCAATGTTCAATACTCTTTCCAGAGGGAGAGAAATCGAAATTTTCAAAATTCTATTTAAAACTGATTCTTCCAACAATAAAACATTCAAAACCTCTTCAGAGAATAACCCTAGAGATTAAATAACAAAAAAAATCACAAATTTCGAACAACAGAATCAAAGATAGAAGAATTCGAACTGCAGAGAGAATCAGAACATGCTGAGCTCATGGGATCGATACAAAATTTTCAGTGATCAACAGATGAGAAGATCATAAATTAATCAAAAATAGATTGAAATTCGAAAAAGCAACACTCACTGTTCTGCTGTTGTTGCTATAGTTAGGAAATTTGGAATCAGGAAGAAAACCCGTTTTTAACAGGAGGATTTTCAGTTGTTTTTATCTCGTTGAAACTTAAAGGACCCTGGTTTCTGGGTGGGTCTGGGTCTGAGGCTCTGTGAGCGAGATGAAGCAGGACTGAATCACTGAGGATTTATGTCCCGAACTCTGCGTAACTTCCCCATCAGCCGCAGGGAGAGAGAGAAGACAAATCATTGAACGAGGTAGAGTTTCCATCTGCCACAGATGGTCATACCTGTCGCCGTCGATGGAGACCAGATGAGAAGAAGAGAAGAGGAGAGAAAGAAACGGTAATACCTGTCGCCGCGACGGAGGAAGAGTTCGGTGTATGGGGAGGATTGGATGGAAGGATCTCTCGTGTCACGACCGGTTCGTGTCCGATTGAACCGACCAGATCACGTTAACGCTCAAACGCGTTAACGTTAGAGGTGACGTTAATTTGCTCCACTGCGCCTAACACCGACCTCACGTGCATATCTCATCATGCATTGGGAACATCTCCTGTCAATAATAACATATAAATACGAAAGATATTCTCAATGCATGGTGAGATGTGCTTGTGAGGTCGGTGTGAGGCGCCTTATGCGAGGAGGAGATCCAGTCTCATATCATCTGTCCAGAGAGTGGAATTTAGTATATATTTGGCATCAATGCTACATATATAGCACTCCATTTTTTGTGTATGTATGAGTTGGAAGTACCGTTTTTTGAGAAAATTATGTCTTTTTCTCTTGTTTGGAAATATTATTGCCAAATAGAACGTTTCTTAGGGCAACATCAACACCTTTTGTTTGATACCGATGCTCCATATTTGTTTTCAACATTAATACCCATTGTAGGAAATCTACATCACTATTTCATCATGTCCTCATTGGCAACAATGAGCTCCAAATTGAGAAAGCATTAAATTCAATGTTTTCCCAGACCATGCCTTCTCGATTTCTAAGGTGTGGTTTGGAACACCATTTTTAATGAAAAAATGGTTCCAAACATATTACCATTTTCTAGAGCACCAATTTTTCCAATGTGGCGTTGATGTGTCACTGCTTTTTAGAGCAACGACATCGATGCCAAAAACCACCTTAAAGAGTGCAGGCCCAACTATGGGACCCATTGTTCCCAAATTCCAGTGACAATCGCCCAGCTTGCCACGTATCCTTCGTTTCAAGTCAGATGTCTTAAGGGGTGTTTCCTAATTTAAAAAAAAAAAATCTTGTGTAAATTCCTAAAATAAATAAAAAATAGAAAAAACTATGATGCCAAAAGACTTTGAAAATAATAAATTGATTATTAAAAAAGTTATATAGAAAAGCATGTTTGCGTTTTTTGTTTCCAAAATGAAATTAAAAAGGATAAAATACTCATTTTGATAAATTGACGTAAACATATCCAAAGTTGTAAAAAACACAAACATATCTTATGACTCTTTTATTCTTCATTTTCTTTTAAATTTTTAAAATATATCTTGGATTTTTCGAACTCTTTTATCCTTTTAAATCTTACAACATGATCAGATTTGGCGGTATTGAAGTTTTGTTTTAGGTCCAATCAATGGGGTTCGGCTTCAGTCAAAGCTTTAAACGTTTGAACACCATTTGAACATTACAAGAAAATGACACGCGTCCATAGGCGCATATGCATTTTATATACATGCGAGGATGATGGACATTTACCACGGACCAGTCTCCACCCAAATTGACCCGTTGAACCCTTGTTCTTCTATCCTCTTCAACCAACGGAAACAAAAGGCATCACTGGCAATGAAATCTTCTTCGGCAACCGATGGCATAGAGCAAGTAAATCTTCCTTCTTCTTTTCTTCTCTAAAACACAGTCTTCTCCCATGAAAAGCCTGACCCTTACTGTTGATGACGGCAGTGATATTCCGCCAGCGAAAACAAAAGGCATCACTGGCGGCAAAATCTTCTTCGGCAATCGACGACATAGAGCAAGTAAATCTTCCTTCTTCTTTCCTTCTCTAAAACACAGTCTTGTCCCATGAAAAGCCTGGCCCTTACTGTTGATGATGATAGTAATATTTTGCCGGCAATGAACAACTTCATCTGCAACTGATCCGCCAACAACCAGCTATAAGTTGACGAGGTGCAGAGACAACTGCATGTGAGACGTTAGGACGAGCCATGGTCAGATAGATGAAAGATCCAACACATTGCCGATAGAGGGAAGCATCAAGAAGCATGGCGCCTTCTGATTTGGATAATTTGATAATTTGACATTCAACTCCAAGGGAGTATCAACCTGTTTATTATCACTGAGATTGGCCAACTTAAGATGATCAGAGGTATACTTGTGTTGGTAGACAAAATAACCTCAGGAGCTCCATTGCACTTCAAGTCCCAAGAAATAATTAAAAGGGTTGAGATCCTTCATGTGGAAGGAACTATTGAGAAGATACTTGAGGTCCTAGGTTCCTTCTATATCATCTCCAGTCAATAGTATGTCATCCACATATAGTAAGAAAATGGTAAGGCCCCGGGGTCTTTTCCAAACAAAGAGAGAGTAGTCCGGTGCACTTTGGCTATATCTGGCTTGTACGACATCATATCTGATTTTTTCAAACCAAGCTCGAGGGGCTTGTTTGAGCCCATAGAGGGACTTCTTTAGTCGACAGACGAGGGAGGGGTCTCTGCAATACCCTAGAAGAGGTTTCAGATATACTATTTCCTTTAAAGGCCCATGTAAAAGGCATTTTTCATATTTAGTTGAAAGATTAATCAAGAGTGAGCAACAAAGAGAGCTAAAAGAACATGGACTATAGTAATCTTAGCTACTGGAAGAAAAGTCTCTTCATAGTCAATGCCATACTCTTGCTTATATCCTTGTGCTACAAGCTTGGCTTTATAACGGTCCAAAGACCCATTAGATTTTATCTTGATAGAATAGACCCATTTGCTCCCAATAATAGAGCCATCTAAAGGTGTTGAGACAAGGCCCCAGGTGTCATTCTCATGCAAAGATTGAATCTCTGCATCCATGGCTTCTTGCCACTGAGGGCTGTTATTAGCCAGTTGGTAAGAGAGGGGAATATCTGTAGAGGTCAAAACAGTAGAGAAGGAGCTACGGTTTGAAGGAAACCCATAGGTCAGGTGGTTTGGAGATATGATCAGAACGACATAAAGGACAAGGAGGAATAATTGAGGAATCTAAAGTTGGAGCATCACTTATAGGGTTGTCTGTGATGGACGAGGGATCTGGACTAGGTGGAAGAAGGTCGTAGGTGTAGGAGTTGGGCTATGAACTCGCTTGTAAGAGAAGATGGAGAAGTTCCCTTAGTAGTGGATGATGGAGAATCCTATTGTTCAAAATCATGCAAAACTGAAATAGAGGGTGCAGATAACTTCACAATTCCTGAGAAAAAGGAGATATGCTCAAGAAAAATCACATTTCGAGAGATACGAATTCGATGTGCTGAGGGATCATAACAAATGAATCCCTTGTGGTTTGGGTTATACCCTACAAAAGTACACATGATTGATTAAGCTGAAAGCATTAAACATTCACGAGGAGGAAGATAAACAAAGCATAGACACCCAAAGATATGAAAATGGGAAAGATCTATGGGGGATCCAAACATCTTTTGAAGAGGAGAAATGTTAGCAAGCACAGATGATGGGGTGCAATTGATCAAATATACTACAGTGCTAACGACTTCAACCTAGAATGTGGGAGGCACATGTGATTCTTGTAGGAGAGACCTTAAAACACTGAGAATGTGACCATTCTTTCTCTTTGCCACTCCATTTTCCTGAAGAGTGTCTGGGAAACATCGTTGGACTTGTATGCCATGATGCTTTAGGTAAGCCAAAAAATCTCTATCACTGTATTTCCCCCTTGAGTCTGAGTGAAGATTTGCACATTCACTTGGAAACGAACTCGAACAATGTTATGAAACATCCTAAAGGTTGGAAACACTTTTGGTTTGTGTTTGAGAAAGTAGATCCAAGTATACCTAGTACAATCATCAATAAATAACACAAAATACTTGTATCCATATGAGAGACAACAAAAGAAGTCAAAACATCACTATGAATAATTTCAAAGGTGATGTGGCATATTCAGCTTGGTGAGTGAACGGTAAAATATGACTCTTACTCAAACAAGAGACACAAGATGTATCAAAGGATTTCATACAAGGAATTTTAGTTTTAATAAAACCAAACTCAAAAAAGTATTTAAGTTTATCAGAATTTGGGTGGACCAAGCATTTATGCCATAGATCCAAAACATAGTTTCTTCGACTCAGAATAGGACTCAATGTAGAAAAGCTCAAAAAAGTAGAGGATGATGTTGATGGAGATTTCTCAAACTCCAATGCAAACAAGCAGCCATCCTACACCCCTTCCCTTTCGCCTCCTAGTGCACTGGTCCTAAATCAACTAATTAACTAATTGAAATAAGGTTTACAGTAAGATTAGGAATAATGAAGGTTTTAGAAAGGGACAAAGAATTTGAGGGAAAAAGTTTGATACACAAGTCATCACTCCCAATGATGTCAAGTTTCTCACCAGTAGTAGTGATAATGTATCTATGGTTGGTTTCAAACAATCTGTTTGAAGGTTTAGGATAGACCCAGTCATATGATTTGTGGCACCAAGATCAGTTATCCAAATGGGAGAAGAGCTATAATTGGAGAACTCACCAGATAGGCCGATAGTAGAAAAGGCAGATAAGATGGAAGAAGATACCTGTTGTTATATCTCTTCTTTATTCATGGAAGCAGAGGATTCTCCCTTGTCAATGGGGGTACCAAACACTCGTCCCTTAGATGCTTGATAAGCGCGTGGTTGATTCTTCTTCATGGGTCCCTTGGGTGCACGAATTGGGCAATCTAGAATTATATGTCCATGTTGTTTGTAATATGTGTAGACATTCTTCTTTTTGTAGTGAGAGGATATATGTCCATATCCTCTACATTCATAGTATTGAGTTTTAGAAGGGTCATTTCCACCAGATTTCTTATTCCCTCGTGTAAGAAAAACAATATCCATCCCTGAATCAGGATGTTTTCCTTTTATGTTTGCAGCAATTAGGAGTCTAGTTTCTTCTCTCAACAATTCTCCCATCACAGAGTCTAATTCTGGAAGAGTTCCTCTACTTAAAATATTTGACCTGATTATTTCATACTGAGGTCTCAGCCTCATGAGACATTGGTTAACTTTCCTATTTTCAAAATGTTTCTACAAATACTTGACACATTCAATGGGATCACAGGGTTCAGTATGAACAAGTTCATATACAACCCAAAGATCAATAAAGTCTGAATAGTATTCTTGAATCTTTTTGTTCCCCTGGTAATAAACAAAGATTTCAGATTCAATCTGGCATTCCTGTACATATTGAACTGATGATACACCTTTTTCAAGTAGGCATACATCTCATAGGTAGTCCTTAGTCTTCTCATACAAACACTAATGTGGGGCGCAATGAAGCTCAAAATCCATGAGACTAACTTTCCATCGTCAAGCTTTCATTGTGTATAGGCTTTACTATCAGCTCCTTCCTCATCAAGTTTACTTATAGTCCCATTCAAGTAACTTTCAAGTCCCTTTCCCTCAACATAGAAATCAAAATGGAACTTCCACATATTGTAGTTAGTCCCATCAAATTTTACAGGGAGAAAATCTACTTTGTCAGCCATCAAGAAAAAAAAGGCAACCTAAAAAAGTAGCAGCACTGAAATTCGAAGTTTAGGACTGTTAACCACTTCACTTAATTCAATAGCAATTTTAGTCAATAGTTCAATCAAGGTTGCAACAAGCAGTTCAAACAAACAACAATAAATCTGGTTTAGAAGAGAAATTTAGTCAAATATCTTCAATACAGATTTGCCACCCTATAAAGGAATCAAAATCCTCCAAGAAGTTTATCCAAAACAACTTCAACTAGTTGTGTTGACAGTCCAACCTGATGGTTCCAGGATTGTCGAACTAAGGAGAGGATTGAATGCCCTCAGTACTGAACACAACCAAATAACCCTTGGACAACACAAAGAAAACTAGGGTTGCAAGAGAGATCTACCAACGTGTTATGTGCAGTTCAAATCAGCCATCAATAGGATTCAGATAAGCAACTTGAAAGGGAGTGAAGAGGTTTGTTGAAACCCTTCAATCTGAAGCACCAGTAGTCAAGAACTAAATGCTCGAAGTTTGGAGAAGGCCTGAGAATACACCAGTCCAAGGGAAAACTATTGTCGTCCTTGAGAGGAGACCACAAGAAGAAGAAAACTACTGCCGCCCTTGAAAGATGATCGGAACCCCTCCAAAGCTTGACCAATCTTGAAGAACAGACCAGGAGACACAATCAATCAGGTTTCTTTGCAAACAGTGACGTTCCAAGAGAGTTCTAGGAAGACCTCTCTTTGCAGAAATCTTAGAACAGAGATCAATGATTAGGGTTGATTAGAACAGCCCTATCTTCAGACAAAGCACCCAGAAGCCAGCAACCTTTGAGATAACAAAGAGAAAACATAAAGCAAGAGTTGGTAACAGAGCAGCCTACTTTGATACCATGTCAACAGACCTAGAGCAGAACACAAAATTCTAGTATGAAGAATGGATACTTCGACCCTACTCCAAGGGTCCTTTATATAGAAAGTGAGAGTTATAGATATTACAAAGAGGCTCTTCTAGGGCAACACGATTTAGAGAATTTACAAGGAGACCCTTACAGGGTTGAAGTGAAAATACTAATAAATAAGAAAACAATACAATAAAGACTACAATAAAATGGTACATCTCAGGGAGTTTCTTCACGCTAGGCACCACTAGGCTCCACATCAGCGTAACAGTGAAAAAAAACATAACCGTTTGTGGAAGCTTTAAAATATAACTTCCACAAATGGTTGGCATGCACATAAACCAAAGTTGACTTTTTTAATTTTTGATGCATGCGGAAGAGAAAGAGAGAGAAAATGCTGAAGTGGTGCCTATTTGGCCCCCTCAATAAACATTTACTGAATAAACGTAAACGGAACCAAACACCCGCTATGTCCAAGAAAAATGAACCCATATCTTCTACAGACCCAATGATAAATTACCACCTGCTCTTTGCACAAGTGGTGGTCTTCTCATGTGTGATTTATAGTAATATTAATTTACTTTTTGTTATTTATCTTTAATTTGTATAGCCCAAAATTTTAGAATTGTAGGCTTTTTTTTCTTCTTTCCATCCTATTTTGACCCTTCATCTCTTTCTCATCCTCTCTTCCTTCCGGCCAAACCTAATCTACTGGTTTTCTTTTGTATAAACTCAAGCAAAATGACTATATATAACACTTTAATTAAAAGAATCCAATCCCATAAATTCCAAATAAAATCAAAGATCCAAAATGATTAACAATTGAGATATTTTTACTTCTAATTGGATTTTTAATCTTTGTCTGATTAGATTTGCAGGCTGTTGTATAACCTTGTTTGGAACGTAATATGAAGATAGACAGCTGTCATACATTGATTCACCGCATGAAGAATGTAGATATCTATGTTGGGTAAGGATTCATTGGATTTCTGGGCTGTTGTATAGATTGATTCAACCAAAGCAACCATAACACTTAAAATAATGATATCTGCATTGTAAGTGTTCATTCTACTTTGAATACTAGCTTGTTTCAATAATATAAGTTAAATGGATTATTTGAATGTAATTTTCCCCCCTTTTGGTGGCTGTTGTTTCTGACAAATAATTATTATGTGAGTTTATTAAGACAAATAATTATTATATTATTGTGTTAAGATTCCTCAATCTGTTAGGTGACTTGGACAAACTTTGTAGAGTAGTAGAGATAACCTATATAATCACAGATTCACAGCCATACTCATAAGGGGGGACACAAATATCAATATTTGTATTCCAAGTGTTCTGGTTGAATTCATACAGAAGAAAACTAGTAGATTAGGTTTTGGCGGGGGGGTGGGGAGGGGGAGGAGGAGGGGTAGGAAGAGAGGATGAGGAAGAAATGAAGAGTGAAAATACGATGGGAAGAAAAAAAACGTACAATTTTGGGATTCTTTGACAATACAAATTAAAAGATAAATAACAAAACTGTTAGCCTAACGATGGGCTCTATTAAGTCAACAAGTAACAACACATGAGAAGACCACCACCGGTTCTTTGCACAGGTGGCGATCAATCATTGGGTCTATAACATAGTCATTAGTTGTAGGTCTATAACAGATCCGGGTTCAAGAAAAATGAATTATGGCCCTTATGGGGGCACAAGAAGTGTGATTTAATAAAAAAAAAAGGGAATTTTGTTTGAAATAGGAACATAATGGGATTTTAAACATGGGAACAGGCGTCTCACATTGGAGGATAAGTGCAGCCAGACTTGTGGGTAGCAGATCCTGATGGGATTGGGAGTGAGATAAGTTAGGGCTGGTATTATTTGTTAACCATGAGCCCGGTGTCTGGTAAGCAAAAACTCCACTCATAAGCATCTAGCTACACATTGGAAATATCTTCCTGTATGCATGTTAAATTCATCACTTGATCAGCTACACATATTTTTCCCACACCTCTCTACCCACAGAGCACTAATGCCATGTATCGGGAACATCTCATGAATGACAAAGGAAATGTTTCCGATGCACAGCTGTAATATCCCATGGGTTGGGATGTGGGAACAACTCATGGGAAGCATATGTGAGCCTTAAACTCATGGGCTGGATTCTCACACTTTCACAATATGTAAAGAGTTTTTGCTTGCAAGTAATCCCATCACATTAACCATCTGGACCCCCTTTGAATCTTTTAAAATAGTGCATCGCTAGAAGGTGAAGTCACTAGCTGGTTGCAAGGTTTAAAGTATTGGAAACACAAAGTGTATCGGAAAGGTAATTTTAAGAAACGTACCGAGATACGCTTTGAAAAACGTATAGATATGGAGGAAAAATCAAAATACGCATGAATACATTAGAAAATCCAAAAAATAATCCTTAAAAATATGAACAATAATAAAAATGAGTTTTATGTGAGTTTAACTAATTTATTTAAACATAAAAATTATTCTTTAATGATTTATATAAAGTATCAGGATATAATTAGTAACCATTGAAAAATAATAGAAGAACTAAAATGTATGTATATATATACTAATATTTATTAGTTAATATTTTTTGAAATCATTTATTAGTTATTATTTATTATATATAGATTTAGATAATATTTATTATGTATACAAGTTAATATATACCTTAATTTTTAATAAATAAATATAACTTGTATTCATCTTATTATTATATAAATATTAATAATCAAATTTATAGCATTTGTTGGGAAACATTCACCAAGGCAAGAAAGATTACTTTAAGAATAAAAAAACATGTCATTCTAATAAGTAATTAAGGTTGGCATAACAGTTAATTAATTATTGTTATAAGCAAATGACTTAGGTAAGAAACTTGTTACCTTTGGTTTGTGATTTTTAACAAGTTATTTCACTTAAATAACATTTAATGACATATTAAATGTTGTAATCAAAGGTAACTTAAATGAGCATTTAATTAAATTATATTAGCATTTAGTGATGTTTCAAACTTTAAGATTGAATTAAAATTGATATTAATGAAAGAGAGGGAAGAGATAATTTAAATTTAAAAAGAAGAGAGAAATTAACTACGGCTGATACATAATGCGTATCAGCCCGTTTCGAGTACGTATCAATGCATTTCGGAAACAGTCCAATACAAAGCAGATATGGACGAAAAAATACGAAACCACGGAATTATACATGTTCCATGCATCGGAACTCTTGCAAAACGATATAGGCCGATACATTATGAAATTTAAAACCTTGGCTGGTTGTACTAGATGCCTGGGATCAAGTCCCGCCTTCACCCGGGATGGGGCGTCTTACGGGTTTGGGGGAGGGTTTCTCTGATTGTGTAATCCATTGCCCGAAAATGTATGGTATGGACGACACACATTGTGATCATGATAAATAATGCCTACCCCAGCTTTGGAGGGAATGGCAGCATAAGTAGGGTCCAAATGGAGGCAAGGTTCAAACTTCAAAGTATTGATATAATATGTTCCATACAGGGCAATATTGTATTGGTATCCAAGGGGACCGATCAACTGAAAAGCTATAATCACGTATTTCTTCCTACCATATTATTAGATCTTTTGTACTGCCAAATAGAATCTTCAGTGCGTTTTTTCTATGATGTAGAAATTTAATGCCTTCCAATTCTCCAATCTGTTTTTTTGACAAGTTTCAATTCTCCAATCATTGATTGGAAGAAAATAATAATATCCATTTTAATATACAAGCAAACAGTTATGATAGCTTTTGTACAAGTACGAGTCTATGAGATAATTGAAATTATTTTCTGTTGTCAATAAAAAATACATGGATGACCAGTGAGTATAAAGACATCTGATCAGACTACATCTCTTGGTTGAGCTGTTTCACAAATAAAACTTGGCTGATTGGTTGAAGCTTGAACGGCCTGACGACTGATCAAATAACATGGGCACAATCCCCGGCCTCACAGATCAGCACGGCTGTGTCTTGGTTGAGCTGGCTAGCCAACACAGGTTGGAGCTTATGATACTCATTCCTCACAAATGAAGCTGCTTCTATGGCTCTATCAGCCTCTACAAATGCAAGACAACATCCTCTAAATCCAGCACCACTGAACCTTGCTCCAAGGATTCCAGGTGTTCTCAGAAGGATCTCATACAGTTGAATCAGTGGTTCACATCCTGTAAGCGCCATGGTATATACATACACATAAAATTAAAGAAACAAAATGGCAGTAACCAGTTAAGAATATACCTATACAAATTTTGATGGAACAGAAGTCTTCATGCTAGTTAAAAGAGAGAAAAGAGAAAAAGAGGAAAGATAGAGAAGGTTCTGAATTTGCATAAAACATGACATTGGATACCTCATACATGAATCCAATGCACCAATTTTCATCAAGTTACAAAGCGAAATTGTAATCTATAGATAATTTAGGTGTTGGGAAGAATGACAGCCATTGAGGATTGGAAAATCATGTTTGGCATTAGTTGAAACCGTACTCTTTCTGTAAGCAATAGAACAGATAGGCCTACTCTTCATTGGAATGGTAGTTATCGTATTCCATTTGTGGCAGGCTAGACTAGTTCATTTGTTCTTTCTATCTTTGAAAGTCTTGTTTCTTGAGTTGTTTGAAGAAGTGTGAATGTAAGTCTTTTATGTGAAGTTTGTCAAATGTCAAAGCATTGCAAGGGAAATTATCCAAAACCTATGAATGGAATTTTTGCTCCTTTCAGCTTGGTTCATTTTGATTTGTGGGGCCCTTCGCCCATTGTTTCTATGGATAGTTATTGCTATTTTATTAGTTTTATTGATTATTACTCTTGATGCATGTGGGTCTATTTAATGAAAGGAATGAGGTTCCAAGAATTATTATAGTTTTGTTTTTTTCTTTTTTCCGTAAAATGGTGGAGACATACTTTGTGAAGAAAATTAAGCAGTTTCATTCAGATAATGTAATACTTTGAAGGCTCTCTAAATATCTTCTTTGAAGATAAAGGGATTTTACATCAGTCCTCTTGTACTTGTACTCCACAACAGAATGATGTTGCTGAGAGGAAAAATCATCATGGATACAACATTGGCTTTAGTAATATTCCACTACAAGGGAATCTGTGCAATTTATAACAATTCTCGTTTTTTTTGATAAGTATAACAATTAACAATTCTCCTTGTTGTGCCTTGACTTTTGCAGTACTTACAGCCAATAGCATCTTTATCATTTTTTTTTTCCGAGCTACCATTCTTAGGATGTGCTTTATTAGATGTGAAGGTCATCTGGTCACTAGCATGCATCATTATAGATCTTCTACTTGCTTCACTATATGCCATAGAATAGGCCTCTTCAACAAAAGGAGTCTCCTTTCCACTCAGAGTTTGCATCTTGATATAAGAAAGTTAAAACATTATGTAAAACTTAGGATTAAGACCCACTAAAATTTCAAATATATGATTTTTATCTATATGTGATCTATATTCTATACATTGCACTACAATGCTAATTTCTCTAAGAAAAAGTAAGGTAATGATCTTACTACATTTCATGGAGAAGTGTACAGAAAGACTCTACTCTCCTATCTAAAAGAAGATATGTCTTGCTTCAATTGATAAATCTTTGTAATATTCTCATGTTGAGAGTATGAATGCCTAGCTCTTCCTCATATTTGGGATGCACTCTTAAGAAACAATTGAGGGATGATTGATATGTAGCAGCATAGAGTTGGATATCCAGCCTATAACTGCATGGTTCTCTTGATCCCATTATCTTGGTATACTCCTCTTTCTAAAAGCCTTTTTATTGCTCCAGTCAAATACCCTAGCTTCTGTTTTCCACCAAGTTGGTTCCAACAAGCCAAATGATGGTGTTAAGAAGGTTGGATCCTTCAATGTCACTTCCTCCAACCATGGACCCATGCTAGAACACTTCAAGTGAGGAAAAGGTAGACTATGTAAAGCAATCGGTAGCAAATAAACTTCACAAACCAGCAAACACTGTTAGAATGTTAGAGTGATGTTCGGCTGATAAGAGTTCTTATTAGCCCAGTCTTATGTCTAACTTATCTTGTAACTGGGCCTGTGTTAATGGGCCTAATCYTGTTTARTKWTTTAAGTYATYTRKGTGTCCCATCACTAATCAGGGGCATCCCAGTAATTTCTTGTACCTTGTACTACATCCATCTATAAATAAAAGACTGGTCGACTGGCTAGTACAGTTCGAC